AATCATCTAATGGCTTTATATTACTCTGGAATTGTACTCTCCAGGCTGTTGCCTCTCTTCCATCCATAGCCTGACAAGGTTGGGGAAATGCCTAGCCCATCACTAAAATTTCTAAGAGACAAAGGCCACCTTGACCAATTGCTGAACAGCCACATGGAAAGGTGAAACAATTTCACCTTTCACACAATCCTATTAATGGAAACCCCAGACTACAGCTGACTTTCTGTCTCAGTTCACTATGGTTTTATATCTGTAATCTTTTGCAGAGTCAAAAATGAACTCAAGGATAAAACTGCCAGTGCAGAAGCCGTTCTGATGAGAGAGCCAAGCTGGATTAAAATAAGGGCTAAAGGGGATAAAGCCAGTGGCCTCAATCAAGCCCCTAGTGGATACATGTACATGGTGCAACCACTACCTATTTTGGAATGATTGATTCAGGGGAGGCTAGAATGGCAAGGGATCCTGCAGCACGGAATTAAGATGTATTGGCAGGGCAGCATGGGGGCCTAAAACCAGAATTATGAGATGTTATCAGAGGGTGGGCAGAGCAAGGAGAAGCAACTTGCACAGCTTCTTTGGTTCAATAGATGGCCGGTGCTTTACAGTTCCCAAACACAACTGTCAGTGGCTTAGGCCCATTAGGCTCCTCTCCAGAAGCTACATTAGCATGTACAGCAGAAGCACTGCTCACAAATGCAGGGCAAGCAGATTTCATCTCAAGAACATTTTCCAAGTTCCAATAAGATTTAAGTTACCAACTATTAAAAGCTTCCTGCATTTAACATTTCACTTACTCTTTCTCCATTGATAGCACCTTCCAGCTGAGGATCTCAAACACTTTACAAACAGAGGCAGTCCATGCCTCTCTTTCTCCTTCCACCCTCTGTGTGTGTCTTCTCCATTTAGATTGTAAGCTGTTTGGAGTATGGGTTAGTAAGCACCCAGCCTCACTGGGATCTGCCTCTCTGCACTGTCATACAAATAAAACACTAGTAAGTTAAGCCTCATCACACACCACTGTCTCTACTGTCTTTGTCTAGATGGGAAAACAGAAGGAATTTGGCAGCCTGGTTTTCAGAACAGCTGAGCAACCACAAATCCACTGAACCCCCTGGCAGCTGCAGGGGAGCAACACCTTTGAAAATAGGCTCCAAAGCCCAGATCCTCAAAAGCATTTAGATGCCTATCTCCCACTGAAATCAATGGCAGTTAGGTGCCTAAATACCTTTGAGGATCCAAGCCTCAGTGATCTGCACAAGATCTCACAGCAAGTTTGTGGCAGATCTGGGAACAGAACCCAGTCTCTGGCATCCCTCTCTATTTATCTAGAGTCTTATCATGCTGATGGGCCCCATGATATCTGAAAGCCAAGCGCTGTGTTTTGACCACTCTGCATCATGCGTCTCCTTATATAAACATTTGCTGTTGCAAAGAGTACCCTGATTAAAGCTGGCACAAGGCAGCCTTCGTGTCTGGAATTATGAAGAAGAGACGTGGGTCAAAATGTGCCAATTTGCTTAGGCTAACAGAAAACTGACAAAGTGCTCAGCCTCCCACTTCAATTGCATGGTAGCGGGAAAGGAAAAAAGCTTCGTCTTTATTTACAGCACAGCAAACTACATTATATAGGATAAAACATCCCCTGCAGGCCAACCACCATCCCCTAGTTGCCAGATATTTGACATTCCTTTAACCATCACTGAGCACAGCCATCCCAATGTGCCACAGTACTTGCAGTCATGTGTACTACTGATTACCAGCACCTTTTGATCCTACAGAGGGAGACCCCTGCCCACACAGAACTACTTAATCTGGCACTGCCATGCCAGCCAAGACTTTCAAAAGTGTCCAGTGATTCTAGGTGCCTCCATTTTTTGGGGTCTAACTGGGAATACCTTTCAAGTGGTCTGATTTGCAGACGGCAAAGGCTCAAGCCTTTTTGAAAGAGGTCCCTTTGAAGTGTCTCAAGCTAGACACCTACAATTCAAAATGAGTCACTTTTGAGAAGCTTGGCCATGGTGCCCAGTGGTTAGAAGAACCAGGGGGCAGAGATATGGGAGTTGCACGCTGCATGCTCTTTAGCACGTCACCTAGCCTCCTTGGTCTTAAGTCAACTCGGACAGCTGCTTGGGAAGAAAGCAGGATTTCCTTCAAAACCATATGCTGCAGCGAGCCAAGCTCCCATCTTCACCCTGAAAGACTCCTGAATTAGTGCCCATTATTGCTCCTGCCACTAACCCAGAGTCTGCAAAGCAGTAAATAGCACATTAAAAAAACCCAGCCACTTTACATTCAAAATCATTCAGAATAGCATCATTTCTGGTGCTGATTGCCTATATTTATTCAAAAGCGGCACTTTACATATCAGATTGAGCTGGGTTTTTCCCTCCTTTTGTGCCAGTTTTCTATACATTCGTTATTTGTTAGAACTGTTCATCACAAATCTTTCAAACATTAATATAGCGGGAAAATAGCATTGTAATACCAAGACAACCAGGAGGGCTTTTCTGCATTTCCAAGTGCTCATACAATGGTAATGGGTATTATGGAGAACCCGAAGGCAGGCAGACACTGCGGCAGGGCTAGCGTTTGATTTCTGATCATAGGAACTTGGGCTGGCAAGTCCAAAAGAGTGGTAGGAGCAGAAACGTAAGACATTTGTCAATGGGAGGAGGAGGAAAAAGACCTCTGCATGGCATTCACTGGCAGACAATTGGGGCGGAATAAAGGAAAGAGGGATATGCTCTGGAAGCAGTCTTCCCAGCCAGAAGCATGGTGGCTGTGACACTGAAGTAGACGTAAAAAAAATCATCAGGGTTCTCATAGGAATGCAGACTTTCCCCCTCCCACCAACTTTTTCTTCCCTGAAAGTTAAAAAAAGAAGTTACCTTGCATTCCTTTAATGCAGTTGCTGCCCAAGCCAAGAAATATACTGCTGCTCATACAGATCAGTGACCTAGATTTGCAGCAAGATCAACATGTAGGCAGAGAGCCGTCCTCACAGAGATTACCTGCTTCCTCTCTTCCTTTCACATGCAACCAACATGAATCAAAGCAAGTCCAAGGTTCACCTTTATAACTTTTTGTCCAGCTTTCAATGCAAATGAGAGGGGTAGGATGGAAATTGTCCAGGTGATGGGGCAAGTCTCATTGGTGCCCTGCTGCACCTGCCCTTTGTTTGTTTAAAACCAGCCTCTGGCTTTATTGATGGGCAAATGTCCAATGGACCTCACTAGAAACCTACAAGCAAACAAAAGAGGGAGAGGTGGGAGGGGAGGATAGCATATGGTGCTTCTCTCCTGTCCCTTCCAGCAAAGTCTCAAGGTTTAACAATACACTACTCAGCAAGAGCATTTATCTTTTCTATCAGATTAGAGCCCCCAATGATACATATTTTGCTTTGAGTTAATTTTATTTGACAACAACAAAAAAATCGATCTTTACAAAACATTTAGCATTTTGGGAAGCCTTAACCGGATAAGAGCTGAGTATCTGACAGAACGAATTAGAGTGTGTGAATGCATATGTGGCCAAATACTTGATTACATGACATCTAGTTAGGAAGAATGAGAAATGCATTTCCTGTAGCTTCAAAGAAATACCAGCTTGTATTTCAGTGCTGTTTAATGACTCTTCGTGTAACCAGTTCAATTCCCAGTGGCTTGTTAGGATAATGTTATCAGTTAAGTGAAACTTTGTTATGGGTTCAGTTTATACCTCTAAACTGATCTCTGAATGAGTCCCCCCTTTAAGTCAATTGTAAGAGACAGTTAAGGGGCCACCCTTGAAGCAGAGCCTAATAGTCTGCTCAGAAACTAGCACCAAGTGGGCAGATGGTTCGACTGGGTATTGTGACTGTGTGCGCGTTGGCAGGAGATAACACACAAACTGAGAATAGACTGAGACAGACTGAAGAAGCAGCTGAAAGCATGTGGCTGGACCCTGGAAAAAACCTGGAGACTTTTTTTTTGGGTCGGGGTGCAGGGTGAAAAGGCTGCTCTTGGTGAACAAAAGAAGCTGTTTCCGGTTATTTGATCCCTTCTGCATTCAGAGACACAGCACTTTGTACAGTCTTTGTAAATAAACAAAACTGCATTGAAGAAATACCCGACTATCACCAAATTCTGCTCCCAACTAGATCACCCACAGGGCCATAAACTTTGACTAGCCACTCAGGTCAAAAAGGGGCAAACAATAACATCTGTCCCTGGAAAGAATAGCATATCATAGGTTTTGCCTTATATTCTGCAAACATCTTGAAAAGCTCTGTTTATACAATGTGCATGATTGGTAATGTTTTTTTCTGTACATGTACTACCGGGAACACTCCACGAACTAGTATATTTAAATCTGTGGAATAGCAGCATGTTTCGCTGGTTGTCAACTAGATTTCAGTTACACTTGTTCAGCCATGACTATTCAGCATTTTACTTCCCCAAATGATGTCTGCTTCATCCTGCTCCAAACTAGTTTATCATCACTGTGAAACAAAGGGAGCACTAATTTCTGTAATCCTCATTCATAACAACTATTACTTTAGAATGGGATTTTGGCCTTAATTCTGTTCCTGTTGATATCTATGGTAAAACTCCCATCGACTTTAATAGCACACCGAGGTCAACTCAAGAATGGTTTTGAAAAATCTCATCCCTTACTTTTTGCCCAAGTTTCAAAAGTTTGCTTTAAGAAAAAAGCAAAAAATTAGGAGATAAATACTGCACCTGGATCTTCATTGTGAAGGGTTTGTTTTGGTAGGGAACTTACTTTGAGCGAACTGTGTTGCAACGTGTGTGTGTACCAAATACTTCTTATGAGCAAGAGACCAAATTATCTTAATTTCTGATCTAATTAAGAACTGTACTCAGGTCTTTCAAGGTCAAAGACAAGTTAGTGCATTAACTGCACTATGCAGTCAGTAATTGAGTCTACTTATCTTCCGCTCCTTTCCTCCCTACCCGCTTCTCTCTTCACCCAACCCCACCAAGGATGCCACAAAAGTATCTGATTGACATTCCCCATGTCATCAAGTTTATTTTCAGATGGTGGGGGACAAGCTACAATAGCAGTCAGCTAAAGCATTTTCCTTTCATTTGTTGTTACCGTTAAAAAGTGTTGAATGATATAAAATGTATCCTCTCAAGTTCATTAGGTTCCCCAGGTTAAGTTGTTACAAGTTCTATAGTAACACAGCTAAAAGAAAGAGACAGAAGGTAAGGTACAATGCCTTTGGTGTACTTGGTACAAAATAATACATATAAAAATGACAAAAGAAATTCTGCTATAAAGCTTCCCCATCAACTGGTAAGCTTTTGTTAGAAACAGATATTAATTAGATAAACAGATAGATTTAAGATGAACTAGAGTGTTTCAAGGTTCCTTTGAGTCATATGCTAAAGACAGATCAGTCGCCTTTAATTTACAGATAGGTACATTTCAGTCCTATTTGAATGGATGTGCGAATCAGCTCAGAATTAAGAGTATCTGTTTAAAATCCAGATAGAAAGATTGCATATAATCAAGATGGCATTTTACTCTTCTCTTGTTTTCTCAACTCCTACAGAGCCTTGTAGCGGATTCAAAACCGTTACTGTGCTCTAAGTCCTTCACAAACCATAAAGTTAAGATTTGTTTTGGCCTTGGTTGTAACTATTTCTGTAACTGTTTGTAGTCCCAGTGTGGTTGGGAATCTCTGCAGCATTTGAAATATTGCTTTCAGTATATGTTATTCTGTAGCTATGATATGCTAAACTGCTGCAGAACAAATGTAATATGTGCACAGAGTACAATCTTTAGCAGTTAGCATTATTCTACTGCATCAATAATAATGCCAGTTAAGAACCAGGTCAAAAGACCAGTTACCACTGGATTTTGTTTATACATTTGTGACTTAAAGAGTTTAAAAACATCTCATCTAAGGACAAGATTCATTTTTGAAAGATATTTCATAAATCTTTAAAAATTACTCTCTCTAAAGATTATAAAAGGTTAGTCAAAACTTTTTAATATGAACAATTTGGACAAGCAGAAGTAGTTCTGGTTTTAAAGGTTATAGCAACAATCACTACAACTGGGAAGGAATCCACAAGGATGGCTATAACTGACAGTTTGTATTTCTTCTAAGGATTCTCATTAAAAAGATTTGACTGCTTATGGGCACGTTACCTTTTCCAAGTGACATGCCGTTCTTTTTAAATCTGCTGTTGGCGTTCCCCAGAATGTACTGAAGATAACTCTATTTACATTCAAAAATATTTTTTTAAAGTATCTTCAACATAGTGGAAATGCCCATAAATCAGTCAGTGGAAGCCTCCCTAACATAGGTGTAGGACAGCTTTGTTGATCTCTGGGTTTGTCCAGTCATTCCGGATGTCATCTAGGTGATTATCGAAATCCACAAGGGTTTCGTAGGATTTGCTGTCCAAGAGAGATACGGCGATCCTCTGGGCTTCAGACCAGTCTTCACAATAATCACTAGAATGTAAAATAACTAGGAATTAATAGTTCTCAAGGAAAATGATCTCCACCAGCTCTTTCAATTAAAACATAAGCCATAGCACTATGCAGTGTGACTACAGCTTAGGAGGCAGAATACTGACAGAGTTTTGTTTTTATAAGCTAGACGTATCTCTCAACATTATGAAAAACAGGAAAGCTTTCAAAGCATGGTCAACTATTGCCTGTTTTCTTCTTACCAGGTCATTCTATATTATGTTGTTCAAGTGTAATAAGACAATTTTGCTTTTTACAGCTGTTTACACAAAGGAACATCTCTTTATCACAACCTAGATACAAACATATTACTTACAAATGTGGGTCTTTGCATCTCCATTTGTTTTCATGATGCTCATACACATGAATGGCAGGTTCTGCGCACTCCATCGTAAATTTAGTGTTATCCACCTAACATGCAACAGAAACAAATCATGTTCTTTCCTTCAAGATCCCAAATAAAGAGATGATATAAAAATGACAGTGTGGTTTTGAACATCATAGCATCTTCCATTCACCTCCATTAATCCATTCAGTGTTTCATCTTGTTGCTGCTTCTGAAGTGCCAATTTTTAAATGGTCTAAAGTGGTTTCTTTTAAACCACCAACATTACACTGTAGCCCACCATTGCTTTTGCCCCATTGAGAAGGTAAGCCATTATGTCATGAAAGGTTTTGGAAGAATGCCTTCTTTACTCTCCCACCACGTACACAGAATGCAGCAACTCTCTCCATGACCAAGGAGGGCCAGAAGTAGGCTCTCTTTAGAGCACAGAAACTGCTCTGCTGGCCAAAAGGGGTTGCTTGAATGCCCTGCAAGGGACTCCCCAAGGCACGCTGAGGGCTCAGCAAGTTAGTCATCACATTACTCTATTAACAGAGCCAAGAAATGGGATTTAAACGCTCATTCTAATATTGTGATTATAATCAGAAGAGAGATAAATGAAATTATATACCATTATGAGTGCTGGGTCACTAAAGCCCTCTGCAATCCTGGAGGCTACCTTTTCAGCGACCTGGTTTGGACTACAGAAGAAGGTCAAGTTAATTGTACTATATATTTCAGCTGAAACCAGTAGGAAATAAGAGCTGAGAAGAGACATGAGAAAAACAGTGTTGTAGCAAACAGGAACAAGATATTAAACTGATCTAAGTCAGAAGGGTAAGAAAACACTGAATCATCTCCCTTTAGCACATGATCTATATCTTAGCTGTGTTCCAGCAGTAGACATTATATTGATTTTAGTAATGCTTTTGCTAGTCACATATAACGTTCTCATAAGCAAACTAGGAAAATGCAGTCTAAATGAAATTACTATAAGGTGGGTGGCACAACTGGTTGAAAGACTGTATTTAAAGAGTAGTTATCAATGGTTCGCTGTCAAACTGGTAGGGTGTATCTAGTCCCACATGGGTCAGTCCTCGACATGGTACTATTTAATATTTAATTAATGACTTGGATACTGGAGTAGAGAGTATGCTTATAATGTTCGCAGAGGACACCAAGGTTGGAGGGATTTCAAGCACTTTGGAGGACAGAATTAGAATTCAAAATGTCTTTGATACATTGGAGAATTGGTCTGAATTCAACAAGATTAAATTTAATAAAGATAAGTGCAGAGTATTTCACTTAGGTAGGAAAAATCAAATGCACAACTACAAAATGGGGAATAACTGTCTAGATGGGGTTATAGTGGATCACAAATTGAATATGAGTCAACAATGGGATGCAGTTGTGAAAAAGACTAATATTCTGGGGTGCATTAACTGGACTGTCCTATGTAAGACAAGGGAAGTAATTGCCCCACTCTATTCAGCGCTGGTGAGGCCTCAGCTGGAGTACTGTGTCCAATTCTGGTTGCCACACTTTAGGAAAGAAGTGGACAAACTAGAGAATGTCCAGAGGAGAGCAACAAAAGTGATAAAAGCTTTAGAAAACCTGACCTATGTGGAAGGATTAAAAAAAACTGGGCATGTTTAGACCTGGGGGCGGGGGTGAGAAGACTGAGGTAGACCTTTTGATATGATAACCCTTCAAATATGTGAAGGGCTGTTATAAAGAAGACAGGGATCAATTGTTTTCTATTTCCACTTGAGGTACAACAAGAAATAACGGGCTTAATCTGCAGCAAGGGAGATTTAAATTAATTAGGAAAAACTTTCTAATGATAAGGGTAGGTAAGCTCTGGAACAGGCTGCCAAGGGAGGTTGTGGAATCCCCGTCACTGGAGGTTTTTAAGACTAGATTAGACAAACACCTATTAGGAATGGTCTAGGTTTACTTGGTCCTGCCTCAGAACAGAGGGCTGGATTTGATTTCCCGAGGGCCTTTCCAGAACTACATTTCCATGATTTGACAGTAAATGCTTACTCAGACTTGATGTGGATCCAATAGTTTGCAGCTTCCAAACCTTCCCACCAGATCCAGAATATCATGGTTATCTTTTGCTCCATTCCCAGGAACTTGGAAAAGGATATTTCTAAATTTGCTCACCAATCTACATCTAAAACTCATTCAATACCCAGTTCCACTAGTAAGCAAATGTACTGATATTTCTTTAACAAGGTAGTAAAAGGTAGAGTCACTGTGTGATGCAAGGGTATCTTGGCAAACAAATTCATCAATTTAAAGTGAATAAGTGCATAATATTCCTCCAAATTACCCAAGTGCATGTAAAACACACTCCCTTGGAAGATCTAAGTTATGTGCTCCTCTTATGTTTCTAGAAGTCTTTAATGGATTTACTTTGCTCTAACTAGTAAGTCCGGAGCAGTGATCCTTAAACTTCCATTATGTGTGAAACTTCTACTACAGATCCTCTTGCATACTAGCTTCCCTTCATTCCCAATATTCCAAATGCACAATTTCTCTGCAGGAGCAAATAGTATTCAGACAGTAGTCAGATGAAAAGTTCACTTTAATGGGATAATTGTGGCTATTTAGGCCGTAGAGGAATTTAACTGTTTTGTAGATTTGCTATTTATTTCTTCTGCCTGCATTTAGAGGTTTACATTTAATAGTCCCAAATGTCCCCTCATTGCCTACAGCAATTGCTGCTTTACTCCCTTCAGGTCACTTTGGAATTCAGTTCTGTTGTCCTGGGTTTGCCACTCCTTCAGCCTTGGTGGAGAAAATCTGATCACAGCTGAATTTACCCAAAATAAAGCTGTGCTGGGTGCAGACAGGTGTGTGTTTCAGTGTAGTTGGTCCAAAATACCTCTGGAAGTCTTAAAATGTCCCAGACGGTGCTATTATCAGAAGAATGCATCACAACTTAATAAGTGATAGATGCATCACCACCTGAGAAATGCAGTTCTGCAGACCATCAGAAAATCCTCCACAGACTAGAATATATATAAAGAGAAAGAGAGTGTATATAGACAAACCGATAGATGAAGTTTGTATTTTTCAGCAGATTCAGTCTTCACTGTGAGTTTAGAATTTCTAAAAGGCATAGGCACATTTGCGTAAGAAGGATTTAACCCCTTATCTATTAATATTATGGGTATCTAGAGGCACTGTTCTAGTCATTGTACATATACAGAGAGAGTCTCTGCTGAGAGTTCCTTAAATGCCTTATTTTATATTTCCTGCTAGTCTTGTGGCAATGTGAAAATCAACAGCAGCATCTCCAAAAATTCATAGCGTCTCTAGCAAGTCATATGCTGAAGCATATATGGTATTAAAGTATTGTGGAAGTAACTCCCACTCCGTCCCGTTATGTTAGAATTAGTAGATTCCAAAGAAAATCTGCTTGCATCTAAATCATAACTGATCAAACTCTCAACTCCTCTGCTAGCTTCAGAGACATGAGAATTTTTATTTGGAGATATCCCTCAAGACCAGAAGAAATGTTGCTCCAACAAAATGGCTTGAATAAATTAAAATGTTTTTACTGAGAACAAGAGGTTAATATTGATTTAAAATGAAAGCATTTATGTCCTGTAATTAGTCTTAATACTGGCTATGCTTAATGATTTAAACATGGGAAGAAAAAATATTCACTATACATGTGTAAACTTAAAATATTGTCCCTTAGGATGACTTTTATTGGTTATTTAATGAGCTGAATTAATGAGATGGAAAATATAGAATTACTCAGTTTTAAGATAAGGTACGCAGTTGCAGATGCATCTGAGTGGGAGTGTGATTTTGAAGCTTTTCCCCAAAATACTATTTGCTGAACTAAAGAGCCTAAGTAACTTGGTATTAATCTACAGCATTGACACACAAAGCGGACAACAAATTCATTGTGTCACTACTGTATCTCAAAAAGCATAGTGTTTCTGACAGGACTGCAAATAAAATTTGCGGTCTACAGTGTTTTCATTTTTGCATCAGTATAGCTAAACCAGCACAACCCCCCAGTGTGTAGATGTATTGCACTAATGTACAAGTTACAAATCACACAATTCAAGTCTCCTCTGGCACTGGCAAAGTGTGTCTACAACATTAGGCGCTTCCATCACTATGACTACATATCAGTGTAGTTATAGTGACTCAAATATAGTGACCCGCAAATTTCCCTGGTCTTAGTTGTAAAATATTTACAGTGGATTTTACTTTTAAAAAAGGATTAACACATGGCAGTTAGAATTCTATAGTTAATTTACAGTGAGTGCATCTTGGGTAAAATTTACAAAAACAGCATAAGTGAATTAGAAGCCTAAATTCCATTTTCAAAAGTACATTAAGTCCCAATGACTTTCAATGGAATTCAGACTCTGAAATAACTGCTGGTTTTGAAAATTTTACAACTTGTTATTAAAGAGTAATCTTGGGGAAGTGATGAGTAAGAAATGACTTCTGTGCTCTACTTACATGGTGTACCATTGCAAGACAATTCCATGACTAGCTGGCAAAGAGTTTCATAAAAAATTAGAGGCAATTAAATAATCTGATAGCGATTAAATCACTTCAAAATGAGTTCCTAAAAGATCTATAGATTCATGAATAGATCTGTGAATTCTAGTGAATTTCCCTGATATCTGCCAGTTAAACTGATTAGCAAGCACTGAAACATCCAACAATTCTATAACATCTACGAATATAGGAGTAATTCTGGAAAAATGGAGGTTTGAGACTACACAAAAGACATTTCACAGATATCGAATAGTATTAAGGAAACAAGGTGAAACCACATGACAGTTGTCAAAGTTAAACAACATTGACAGATTATACGTGCAATTATTTTTGTTGGCATAGTACAAATGCAGCATGAGAGAGTAAACAGGAGGAGATATTGCATCGACACACCTGGCATCTTTCACACGCTCGTTAGCCTGATAATATCCAGCTATCACGTAACTATTCTCTTTGCACCAAGAATCAATCTGAAAGAGTAATCAAAACAACTGTGAGTCCAGAAAAATCACACAACAAAACTACCAAAAAGTATACATCTTTCCTGAGGATAAAATGGCAATTGAAACCTTATAACATTTTAGCCAATTGCTAATGAAGTTAACCAAATGCTAATATTCTTAACCACAACACAGGAAGACACACAAGTATTAGGGAAAAGATATATAAAACATTAATGAAATTAAGTTGAACAAGAAGATATTTGAATTGTGATGTACAGCCTGAAATTCAAAGAACAGAATTTGTTCTGAAGCGCTTGAGTAACCACTGGAATCAAATTTTAGGTGTTACTGGCTATTTTCTGTTAGTATTTAGTTGGCAGTGGGAAGTAGGGAAATGTACAGGATGTGAGACTATAACCCCATTTCACAAGACGGTTGCATCCATTTTGCTGAAAATAGAAGTTCACAGTGTTAAAATGTATACATTTTTATATTGTATAATGTTTTCTTTAAAAAGCAACTGATGCCTTAAATTTAAGAACTGAAAGATGTGACCAAAAAATTCTATTGTCTCATTCTTCCAAATCACCCCAGTTGCTAGGGGGATCTGCATTAATACAAGATTCTTTTTTCTTAATTGTTCACCTGTGAGGGTAATTAAACATTAGAACAATTTACCAAGGGATGGTGGGTGGATTTTCCATCACTTCGTCTTTAAATCAAGATAGAATGCCTTTCTAAAAACATGCTATAGCTCAACTACAAAACACAGGCTTGATGCAGGAATTACTGGGGGCCTGTGTTATACTGGGGGTCAGACTAGATCAGTGATTCTCAACCAGGGGTACATGTATCCCTGGGGGTACACAGACGTCTTCCAGGGTGTACATCAATCATCTAAATATTTGCCTAGTCTTACAACAGGCTACATAAAAAGCACTAGTGAAGTCAGTACAAATTAAAATTTCATACATGACTTGTTTAGACGGTTCTATATATTATACACTGAAATGTAATCACAATATTTATATTCCAATTGATTTATTTTATAATTATATGGTAAAAATAAGAAAGTAAGCAATTTTTCAGTAATAGTGTGCTGTGACACTTTTGTATTTTAATGTCTGATTTTGTAAGCAAGTTGTTTTTAAGTGAAGTGGGACTTGGGCGCATGCAAGACAAATTAGACTCCTGAAAGGGACACAGTAGTCTGGAACGGTTGAGAGTCACTGGACTAGATGATCATAATGGTCCCTTGTTCTATGAATAAGACTTCACATATGCAAATACTTTAAAAAAAAATCTATGGAAATTTATATATTTTTTTAATGAAAGGGACAAATTCAAACCTGGTGTAAAGCAGGAAAAAAATAACTGGAAAACAATGGATATCAGCTCTGAATTTGGTCCATTATCTCTGTTGTTTTGAAAATACACATCTACCATGCCTGTTGCTCACAATTAAGAGTATCAGGCCAGGATAATCCAGAAATTTGGGAGGTGGAGAAAACAGCTAGTGCTTCCCTCCCCAGTTACTATGCATTTTAAAAAACCCAAACAGATTGATTAAAATGGATTCCAAAATGTATTTGATGTTGAACTTTGGCATCTGTAAATCAAAAATTTCATATTTAGTAGAATAATTACAGTATTAAACTGTCTAAGCAGAAGAAAGCCATGTGAATAATCCCTCATCCACAGGGGATGACACGGATTTATATGTTTTATTAAAATGTCATCTTCTGGCATTGAAACAGCAGTTGGCCCTTAACTGGAGCAATTATAAACCCCATTTCAAGGGTTTATGATTTCAGTTTTTAATTGCGAGTGGGCTGAAACCTTGGCACTAAAGCCAGCAATCCCTGACACAAGTTTCCTTTTAAAGTAAACTGTGAATTTAAAAATTACATTTGTCTGACATTTTTACTGTGTATGCTACTGAAAACAATTTCAAACAAGTGTAACTTTTAAGTTGACAGTTTTCTTTTTAAAGTAAACTTTCACCCAGTGAAAAAACTTGTTCTGTAAACAAAGATTGTTAACTTTCTGAATTTAACAGCAATTTCACTAGGTTTACACTAGCACTTTTCCTTAAATTCCACATTGTTGCAATACCATCAACTGGCCACTGATGTTTCTATTCCTGTTGTCTAATCCTGATCAGAGCAGGTCAACATGAGACAAGTGATAAAAACAACAATACCTAGCTCTTATATAGTGCTTTTCACCTGTGGATGTCAAAGCGTTTTACAAGGTAAAAATACCAGTGACCAGTATACCCCAGGGGCAGATCCTCAGCTTGTTTAAACTGTCATAGTTCCACTGAAGTCAGCTTACTCTAGAAGAGGATCTTCCCCCAGAGCTTCTACCATTGCTCCCAGAAGTGGAGCTGCACCCACAGTACTGCAACCATGAAGGATTTTGAAAGATTTGCGAGTATAGATAAGCCCTGAGTATACAGGCTGTGTCACTGTTGCTCATGTATAACCAGTCAGTGGGGAGCAACTGCACAACATCAGGAAGGAGTTTTTAAAAAAAGAAAAAAAAGTGTGGTTGTAAAACTACAACAACTGGCTGGGGGAGTCAAAGGCAGTAACTGAAACTTTTCGTAACTTGCTTTTTAAAAATGACTTGATTTCAAATTCAAAACAAAATGTGCAAATTAAGAATCGTGCAAATTTATTCCTTCCAATCCTTTTGCTGAAAACGCCTGATAAACACTATGAATGTTTCCATTAAAGCTGTTGTGCCTACAGGACACACGTGGCTTGGTACATGTTCCTTTCCCCATGTGTAATTTGAAATTGAGCTATGACATCATTTCAAGTGTCATTTGATATCAATAGGATTTTTTTGGGTATTCCTTTAATACTCATTTTTAGAACTTTTTTAAAATGGACAAGGCTGGCACTGAAAATAAGAATTAGATTTAGAAAATATTAACTCAATTTGATGCTCATGCATAACTCAGAAAATCCTCATTCACATAAGCAGTCCATTCACCTCCAGGGTAATGATTACTCACCCAAGGAAGAGTTTATAGTAAAAGGCCTTGGGGGAAAAAAAATCCCCTCATTAAATTCAACCAATACTGCAAGACCCTTTGGATATCTAGGTGTTTCTGGAAAAGGACATCAACTTTAACTGCATGAATTTTATTGACTTGTTCACTTAAGATGGTTCCTTAACTCAGGATTTTCCTTGTATTCATATTGCTACATTACATGCAAAACAGGCTCCATTTTAAAAACCACTACAATGCAGTTACTGTGAGCTGTTACATAAATACTTAGCCTTTGTACAAACAGAGAAAGAGACTTTGGGCTCTTGATAAGTTTTTAAAAATTGACAAGTATTGTAATTTGCAACCCATCTTCATGAACTTTATACTTAAGGCTTGCAAAAATTGATTAATTGTGGGAAAGTTGGGGATTTCATGTCTTTTACTTTTAAAATCAATAACCAAGTACAAATAAGAAGTAGTGAAAAGGCAATAAATTGAGGATTTTAAGGTTTAAGTTACATAATGTACTAATATTTCAATTTTTCAGCTGTATAACAAACAGAATATACAGATTAAGACCCAGATCTTATAACGAGCTTCACATGTGGACCCATTAAGGATCAGGGTCCAATTTTGGATTAAAAAAAAAAAAAATACTTCCATGACCAGGGTACCTTTTTACACAGTTGAATCATTCTGTAATTGCACTGTGTCCCAATTTTTCCAGGATCTCCAAATAAAAAATATAAACAACAAAACGTTTGGCACAGCAGTCTCCCAGCATGTTTGCAGGATTGGGGCTTTAATCCATAAACTCCTAGGTGTTTTGTTTTTAAAAAAAGCTTGGAAGCTACTTGCCCACATAGGGCCCTGACTGAAGTCAGCTGTGTTTTATGGGGCTGCAGCAGTCCCTCTGCATGCCACACATTGTAGGATCAGGAACTAAGAAAACAAGGCCCCCTTCCTAACAGTTTAGAATCTTAACTCCAGAAAAACAATGCTTCTGATACAGGCCAAACACTGAAACACTCCACTGCACTTAGGAGACTTACACACTCTAAGGCAGGGGTCTGCAACGTTTGGCACGCGGCTCGCCAGTGTAAGCACCCTAGAGGGCCGGGCCAGTTTATTTGTGTGCTGACGCAGCAGGTTCGGCCGATCGCGGCCCCCACTCGCCGCGGTTCACCGTCCCGGGCCAATGGGGGCAGTGAGAAGCGGTGCAGGCAAGGGATGTGCTGGCCGCGGCTTCACGCCACCCCCATTGGCCCGGGACGGTGAACCGCGGCCAGTGGGGGCCGCGATCGGCCGAACCTGACGCGTCAGCAGGTAAATAAACTGGCCCGGCCCGCCAGGGTGCTTACCCTGGCGAGCCGCGTGCCAAACGTTGCCGACCTCTGCTCTAAGGGAGTGGTCCCCAAACTTTTTATGTTGCACCCTAGGCCCCTTACTCGTAATGTAATCTGTCCACACTCCCCTGGGTGCCGGGACCAGAATCAGAGCTGTGCCTAGGGCCAGGAGCGGAGCTGGGCCAGGAGCAGAGCTGGGGGCAGAGCTTCTCCCGCCAACATAACTTCTGTTGCTTGCAATCGATGGGAGAGCACTTCACCAGAGCATAGAGAATCTTCACCAGATGTGCTGCAGCGGAGCACCTGTATCGGTACAGCTGTGCCACTGCAGAGCTGTACGAATAGACATAGCCTGACATACTTATATAGCAATCTGTCTGAATTGAGTACTTACCTATATTTTAAACCAATTAATCACTGGAAATGAACAAATATACAAACTGTCGCCTAGTTCAGCTCATTTAGACAGAGCTGGTGTTTCTCAAAAGGCTTCGGCTCTTCATTTTCTCTAAATTTTGCTGTTTCAGCCTCCAGTAACTAGACATTCTACAACTGTGTCCAATCATTTTAAAAACTAAGAGACATCATTCTCTCTTACTACAGGCTTAGTTTTCAAATTTGGCCGCTTGTAGCTAAGCATCTAAGGCCCCAATCATGGAGTTCTGAGTGAGAGGACCCTTATACCCACATGGAACCGCACTGAAATCAGTCGGCTTCTACACAGGGACAAGGATCTGCCCTTATGTATCAGCTTGCAGGACTGGGCCAAAATCTGTATTTAGGTATCTTAAAATCCGTGTCTGGGCACCCATGTTTGAAAGCTGAGCCTTATTTTGTTTCTTAAGCATTGTCACATCTTTTGCTTGTCAACACTGATTCTTCATAACTTCAAGAGGTACACATTTAATATAATGAAAGCCACAAGCATACATCAGTCCTAAAATATTAGCTCAGTATATTTCAGTGCAACACAAACAATATAATGTGGGACACTCATCAAAGTACCAGGCAATCTGGGAAGTCACAATTTCAGTTTGTTTTAAACTGATGATGCCTGAGCAAAAGTTCCTTAAAGCTAGTCATGGTGGGTGTCAGGGTATGTCTACACTACCCGGTGGGCAGCGATCGACCCCCGAGCGCTCTCCTGTCAACTTCTGTACTCCAGTGCCGCAAGAGATGCAGGCAGAGTCGATGGGGGAGCGGCACCAGTCGACTCATCACGGTAAGTCGATCTAAGTACGTAGCTGAAGTTGCATAACTTAGATCGCCGCCCCCCCCGTAGACCAGGGCTCAGTCTGCTTGCAACCACATTATTCATAGCTCTGAAGGCTAAAAGGGACTGTTATGGTCTAGTCCGATCTCCTACATAACACAGGCCAGAGAATTTCATCCAGTAATTCCTGTATCAAGCCCAGAATTTGTGGTTGAGCTAAATCCTATCTTTTAAAAAGACATCCAATCTTGATTTAAAGACATTATGACCACCACACATCTTAAAAAATACAGTACAACATTTTATACTGTACTTCAATAACACCTTTCATCCAAGGAGCTCAGGACCCTTTAAAAACACGAATGAATTTAAAGTTCACCCATCTGAAGGTCACAGAAGGGTTAAACTAGGCCCTATCTACAGAAAGAAATTCACACAAATGTGACTACATTGGCATGTTATTGGATTAAATCACAGTACACTGCTGTGGTATAATCCCTACTTTGCACCGGTGCATCATATATACATTAGGGGTTTGCTTTGGCATAACTACACCAGTTATACCAGTGGAAGTTTCCTTAATGTAGAAAAGTTCTGAGTTACCCAGGGTGTCTCAGCAAATCCATGGCAGATGTAGGAAGAGGACCCTCATCTCCTGTCCAAGTCCTGTGCTCTAACCACATCAGGCATTATGTAAACATGTATTTCTTTAGTTTCTGTGACCCTGTCTTGACTAGGAAAAACTGGTGCATTTTTAGAAAGAAATGCTTTTTTAATGTAAACATGATTAAACTGGAAGTCATTGAAGTCAAGAATTTAAAAGGTCTCAAAAAGGGATTGGATATTTATATGGATATCAAGAATAGCCAAAGTTATAATTCACAAGAATAGATTTTGGAAGGGATATTAAAACTTGTGCTTCAGGGTTTAAGCCAATTTCTGTTAGAGAGCAGGATAACACATAATATGGGGAGCAGATTATCCCAAATATGCCTACGGTGAGGTTCTCATTCCTTCCTCTGTAGCATCTGGCACTGGCCACTGTCAGACAGGACACTGGACTAGATGGACCTTGGGTCTCATCCAGTAAGGCAACTCCTATGAGCTATCTCCCCACAGACCAGGACACACCAACTCAAAGCGGCACCAGACCCTGCCAGAACAACAGATGCAAAACCTACAGACATATCTCCACTGGTACAATGATCAACACCCACCCACAATACATCTTTCAAGATCCATGGGTCCCACACATGCCTATCACAACATGTGGTGTACCTCATTCAGTGCACTAAATGCTCCAATAATAACTATGTGGGTGAAATGAGACAATCACTACATTCTCAAATGAACACACACAGAAAAATGATACAACTATCACTCTATATCTGACCTCTCATTCCTCATCCTCAAAGGAAATCTACACATCTTCAAAAGACAAGCCTGGGGACTTAAATTCATAACTTTTCTATACACTAAGAACCATGGACTGAATAGAGACATTGGATTTATGGTTTATTACAACAATCTATAACCCACTATCCCCCTCCCCATATCACTGGCCACTTCACCTTGAATGGTCCCTTGCAGTATGTGTTAACTACTTACGTAGTATTTATTTATTTCACCTTGTATTTAGTTGTGACACTTTGGGTATATTTATACAATAAAGAAAAACCTGCAGCTAGCCCATGCCAGCTGACTCAGGCTGTGGGGTTGTTTCATTGCTGTGTAGACTTCCAGGCTCGGGCTGGAGCATCGCAGGTTTTTCTTTGCTGTGTAGACATACTCTCTGAGTACAGTTCCCAGACCTGAAGAAGAGCGCGCGCTGTGTAAACTTGAAAACTTGTCTCTCACAAACAGAACTTGGTCCAATAAAAAAATATTACCTCACCCACTTTGTCTCCCTAAGAATTACTTACCTTGACTTAAAATACCATTTGTAGCATGTAAACAAAGTTTAACGCCTGTTTACAACATGACTAGTAACACGATTTAAAAGGTGTTACATTAGATGCTAACTGGTGTTTCAAGTCATGTTAGCTAACATTTTAAAAAGCCTAGTTTTTTTTCCTAGTCTAGGAGGCAGACCTTGTCTACATGGGAAAGTTATACCTGTAAAAGCAAAATTGTGAATTTAAACCAATCTAGTTATATTTGTATAACCTGCTGTGTGGCCATTCTTATTCCAGTATATGAGTGCCTTTTTCAGTTTAGTTTATATCAATTTAGAAGGGGTAACCTGGAATAAGTGTGTCCACTTGGGGAATTATGCTGGTATAATTATACTGCTATAACTGTCAACTTCCTCTTACAGCCAAGCACTAAGTCTACACTAGCAAAATAGGAGCTGTACTTTTCAGCTGGGGCAGTTTTCAGCAGTGAAAAACTCTAGTGCAGACAGCGTAGAGCATCTGTCTGCATGAACCCCTGCTTTTCCACGGCTCAGTCTACAAGCCCTTCTGCGAGGTAGAGTTTGCATCTCTCTCAGCCATTACATGCCTCTCAGGATCCTTTTTGTTTTTGGGCCATTCCGTGGGTCTCAGCAATAAAGTGGTGTGTGTCTTTGTAGACCTATGCGGGCGCACATGCGAGTCTTCCCCCTTTCAGCTTTGCCTGAGGGAGTCTTTCCACAACCGGGCTCTATCCCTAGCCCTTCCACTGATCTGACACGCGGTCTCGGGGGGGAAATCGCTGAAGCTACTGCCTCAGTTTCCCCACCTGTCTAGCGCTCTAGGGGAGCCGTGAGGGCGCTGACGATGGGCCCAGCGCTACTCTCGCTCCTTACCAGCGTCAGCGCCACCTCCAGCATGGGGGCCAGGGCCAGGGTGCCGTGGAAGAGGGGGATGCAGTCCACGAACAGGGTGTGGGGCTGCGGCTGCCCGTGGGGCTGCTGGTCCTTGCGGGGCGGGGGCGGCTGCTTTTCGGCCACCAGCAGCCCGTTGACGGCGCAGTGCGGGTACTTGGCTCCGTGCAGCACCATCTTGCAGTAGGCCTGAGTGGTCAGCTTCATCCTGGGGCGCCCTGCTCCGCCGCGGGGGCCGGCCCCCAGCTCCGCCCGCCTCACCTCACGGCGCGGTGGGGGGCACCATAGGCGGCGGGAAGGGGGGGGGGACGCTGCGGCTTCCCCGCCGGGCCGCGTGAGGCTCCTCCGGGCGGCCCCTAAGGTGCCAGCTCCTGCCTCAGTCCCCCGCACGCGACGCCCTCGCTCTCACCGCCGGCTGCCGCAAAGCGCTCCCCAACCGCCCAGCGCTGTCGCAAAGCGCCCCCGGAGAAAGTGAAGGGGCGGGAGTCCGCCGACGTCCCACTCTGCACCGCGGCGCGGCGCTCTCTATTTCCCTCCAACCGCAGCGCGCTCCTCCACTATCCCAGCGGGCTGTGCGCCAGAGCGTTTCCGCCTCGCCTCTCTCTCGTCTCCGGCACGGCAGCCGCGTAGAGGACGGTAGCCAGGTCGTTGGTAGCGGCGGGTGAGACAGGCCTTGGGCCGGGTCAGACTCCGCCTCCGTGGACAGGGGGGAGGGTCCGCCCGGAGCTATCCCGGTGTGGGGGAGGGGAGCTCGGTGGGGGAGGGGTATCCCCGGGGGGGGGGGAGGCGCGTGTCGTGGCCGGACGGGGACGACGCGTGGGGCCCGTCGGGTTGG